GAAGGGACAGATGTGAAGGGGTGGGGGAGGCATGGTGGAGGAGTGAGAGGAGGGGAGGAGCAGGTTGAAGGAGGGGGTAGCTGGGGGAGGGGGCAGGTGAGGGAAGGGACAGATGTGAAGGAGTGGGGGAGGCATGGTGGAGGAGTGAGGGCAGGGGAGGGGCAGGTTGAAGGAGGGGGTAGCTGGGGAGAGGGCAGGGGAAGGAAGGGGCAGGTGGGAGGGGTAGCTGTGGGAGCAGGGGCAGGTGGGAAGTGGGAGGGGTGGGTGTGGAGGTGAGTTGAGGGGCAGGTTGCAGAGGGAGGGAGTAGGTGGGGGACAGGGCAGGTGGAAAGGGCAGCTGGGGGAGAGGTGGGCAGGTGAGGGAAGGGGCAGATGTGAAGGGGAGGGTGAGGGGAGGGGCAGGTTGAAGGAGGAGGCAGCTGGGGGAGAGGGCAGAGGAAGGAAGGGACAGGTGGGAAGGGTAGCTGGGGGAGGGGACAGGTGATGTGAGGGAAGGGGCAGGTGGAAAGGGGAGTGGGAAGTGAGTGAGGGGAGGGGTTAGGTTGAAGGAGGGGGCATCTGGGGGAGGGAGCAGGTGAGGGGAGGGGCAGGTGGGAGAGGTAGCTGTGGGGGAGGGGGCAGGTGAGGGAAGGGGCACATGTGAAGGGGTGGGGGAGGCATGGCAGAGGAGTGAGGGGAGGAGAGGGGGCAGGTAAGGGGAGTAGCTGTGGGAGCAGGGGCAGGTGGGAAGTGGGAGGGGTGGGTGTGGAGGTGAGGTGAGGGGCAGGTTGCAGAGGGAGGGGTAGGTGTGGGAGAGAGGGCCAGTGAGGGGAGGGGGTAGGCTGCAGAGGGTGGGGGTAGGTGGGGGAAGGGGCAGGTGGAAAGGGCAGCTGGGGGAGAGGTGGGCAGGTGAGGGGAGGGGCAGAGAAGTGGGAAGGGCAGCTATGGGGGAGGGGCAGTTGTGAAGTGGAGGAGAAGGGGCAGGTGGGGGTAGCTGTGGGGGAGGGGAGCTGCAGGTGCGGGAGGGGCAGGGGAACCCCACTCCCCTCCTAGAATCAGGGAGAGAACCCAGGAGTCCTGACTCCCAGCCCCCCGCTCTAACCCCCTAGATCCCACTCCCCTCCCAGAGCTGGGAATAGGACTTTGACTCTCTGTCCCACCTGCTCTGTTCGACTGTTTTCCCTTCCGGTTATGCAATCAGTTTCCTAAATACAGGTTTGTTTTTTTCACAGAGCCTTTGGTGAACGATGAGTGCTCGCCGCCGCGGCGCGCCCGGTGACAAAAAGCAGCGCAAAAGTGCTGCGCGGAGACCCTCCTTGGTATCGGATAGTGAAGTGGGTCTGCTGGCACCACCCCCGGAGGAGACTGGTATTTCCCCAAACCCTTCACTAGCGCTGCCTGCTGCGCCGATGATCCAACTCTCTGCACGCCCCGTAGCTTCCTGGGAGTCACAAGTGCTCAGCACCTCGGCAAATCCGGCCACTAGCTCTATAGACCCTAATTTGTACCAAACCCGGGTGCAAAGGTCATGTCAGTAACCAGACATTTGGCCAGACTGCAGCCTCTTGGGCCTTGTCTACACTACTCTCTTAGGGCCTGGTTTTCAAGTGCTGAGCTGAAGTCAATTAGAGCTGCAGGCCCTTCAAATTCCCCGCCAGTGTTCTGATTGTTGCAGCTCCACCATTGTACATAGGACTGACAAGGTCCTCCTGGGTCATGGAGTCCAGTCCCAGGTCACCCTGTCATAGCCTGTTTAAACTTATCATGCTCCAGCTTCAAACTACACCTCTACCTCGATATAACGCTGTACTTGGGAGCCAAAAAATCTTACCGCGTCATAGGTGAAACCGCGTTATATTGAACTTGCTTTGATCCACCGGAGTGCGCAGGCCCCCCCCGGAGCACTGCTTTACCGCGTTATATCTGAATTCGTGTTATATCGGGTCGCGTTATATTGGGGTAGAGGTGTAGTTCGGTTGTTTGCCCCCACTATTCCTACTGGGGGGCTGTTCCAGAACCTCCCGGCACCGTGAGAATCTCAGACCTGGGTTGTGCTAAGCCCAGGCACCTAGACCCCACTAGGAGATAGATCTTTCAAAATCCGGCCCACTCCAGATGAGGAAACCACAGGAGGAAGGTCGGGTTAGAGTTAGAAACCTTCTTCTCATTTCCAGCCTAGATTCCTTTCTTTCTCCCTTTTATTCTTGTGTCAACATTGTTCTGGACAGGGTTTACCTATCTCATAGAACTGGAAGGGACCCCGAAAGGTCATTGAGTCCAGCTCCCTGCCTTCACTAGCAGGACCAAGTACTGATTTTGCCCCAGATCCCTAAGTGGTCCCCTCAAGGATTGAACTCACAACCCTGGGTTTAGCAGGCCAATGCTCAAACCACTGAGCTTAGGCATTTTAGTCACCATAAAATTCGTCTCACCCAGTGGTTTTCAACCTGTTGTCCACTGGGGGGTCCACAGACTATATCTAAGGGATCCGCGAAAGGTTGTTCCCATAGAACAATGGTTTTCAACCTGTGGTCCATGGGGCGTCCGCAGACTGTCTATCATGTCCAAAGGGGGCCACACCTCCATTCCAAAATATTCAGGGTCCCGCAAATGAAAAAAGGTGGCAAACTGCTGAGCTAACCTGCTCTCAGCAAGTCTATTATGATGACAGTCGCACCTGCAGTGCTGCATCGTATAAACACCGGGTGAGGGATAGTCCCCATCGCAGAGCTAACAGTCTCGCTAGACAAAGAGCGAGAATGAAACAGAGGCACGGGAACTTGCCCATGGCTATACATCAGATCTCGGGCAGAGCCAGGAATAGAAGCCAGGTCTCGTGGGTCCTAGTGCGGTGGTGTAACTACAGGTCCACAGGAGATGCTGGCTGAAACCCAGGCAGCAATCTGGGTCCTTTCTATGCACTGCTGGAGCTGTGAGGGTGGGAAGTTACACCGGACATAAAAATGTTGAGTGTAGGCCTCACCTTGTTAAATCAAACCCAGTGTTCCCTTCCTGTCCTCCTGGTATAGGGAGTGAAGTGCAGCCTGACTCTTTGCCCTATTAAAGATACAGGCAAGCTGAAGACATCTGCTAGTCTTGTTCATTATGGGCACCCTCCAGCCCCAGCTGCCATTACAATCGTTTTAATATTTGGGGGTTTTTTTTGTAAAAAACTTGGGGCTGGATTACAACTGCGGTTGTAGCTGTGGAAGGCTCTTCATCCCACTCCCTAAACCAGTGGTCCCCAACCTTTTCCGTGAGGCGGGCGCCGGACGACTACCCGCCGAGGACCGTGGCCGCTGGACAAGCAGCCGCCGAAATGCCGCCGTGAAGCAGCAAAGTCAAGAGGCGTCGCCACCGAAATGCCGCCGAGAAGCAGCGTCATCAAGAGGCGTCGCCGGCGAAAATCGGCGGCATTTCGGCGGTAGCGCTTCTTGACGTTGCTGCTTCTCGGCGGTATTTCGGCGGTTGCTTGTCCGGCGGCCAGTAGGCGGGTGCACATGGATGCCCCGGCGGGTGCACTGGCGCCTGCGGGCACCGTGTTGGGGACCCTGCCCTAAACTAACCAATCATCTTGGACATGGTGCCAGATGCAGCCACTGCTCTAGAGGTGAAAGGCCCCGTGTCCTGTTCCCTGCCTCCCAAGAGCCAGCCCGCGCTCCCCATGTGGGGCTGGATCAGAACCAGTGTCCTAGAGGTGAAAGGCCCTATATCCCATTCCTTGCCCCCCATAAACCAGCTGGTCCCCCCACGTGAGAGACAATACTGGAACTGATGCTCTAGAGGTGAAAAGCTGTCTCTCAGTCTTGGACTCCCGATCTATGCTGTCTTTTCAATCACTCCTTTCTTCAGACTTATCATTTAAAACTCCTAGCTGGAGATGTTTATCTTAACCAGGTCTGTGAGCCCCCCCTCCCCCTCAAATTGTTTCCCTTCAGTGTGTTACCACAGTAACCCACCCGGATTTCCAGCAGCAGCTCTTCGGAGCTCACGCTAGCTCTTACGTTCCAGTGATCATCGCTGCCTAATGTAACGTGCACGAAGCCAGCTCTGCTCAGAGCTTCTGCTCCAATCCAGTCTGCTGCGACAGTCAGTGAAATGACATCCCCTGTCAGGCGGCTGAACGCTGGCTGAATTGGGAAGCACTTCCACGGGCCTGCTCCCTGGGAGGTGAAGCCGTGGGAGGGTTTTAGTCAGCAAGTGCAGAGGGTTTGATTAGGGACAAGCGAGCATGAAACAGAAGACGAGATGAAAGGGAGCAAAGATTAGGTCTGTAACACCAGCACCCAGGCATGGCCTGACTGCCTGCTGGTCCCCCTTGACTACTCTGAGTCATCAGGGCCAGATGTAAACCAGACCTCCCCTGTTGGCAGCTGTCTTCCCTGGCCTGTCTGTCTCTCTCTGGCCATTTTTGTAGCCATGTCTGTCCCAGGTCGCTCCCACCAACTTGGTCCAATATTGCCTCACTCACCTTGTCTAGCTAGCCGTTCACGGTAACGAATCCCTGTAGAGGTGGCCACTCGTTTTTTTGCGTTCTTATATTGGGACACCCTGGGCCTGATTTTCCGAGCTGCAGAGCACTCCCAACGCCCACTGGCGCTGTTAGGAGCTGGGGATTCTCAGCCCCTCTGAAGAGCGCGGTCCGAATTTCTAAAATGGGGCTGTGAGTATTAGAGGCGCCTGGATTTGAACAGGTGATGGCTAGTGACAGCCAGGAGGTCCTGCGCTGGGCACGGTGGCGGCTCAGAGCCGCACAGCAGAGGCAGATCTAGAACTCAGGGAATGCGTGCACAGCAGTCAGGAGGGACGATGGCGGCACGGGGCGGCATACCCAAGCTAGCATTACTTGAGTTGGCTTGCTAAGAGTAGCAGTGTAGTTGCAGCAGAATGGGCTAGTCGGCTGCGGACAATCCCGCCCTGGCCCATAGTTCCTCCTGCTCCAGAAGCTCAGGCCCCGAGCACTTGGGTGAAAGGAGACTCTCCCTCAGCTCCTAGCAGTGGAAAGCTGCTCTAGCTTTGGGATGAAAAGGCTTGTGTGATTCCTGATAGTTTGAGGACATTTCTCTGGTACTCCCTCTTATTTCAGACACCGCAGTAGGAAGTCTCTCTGTCTCAGTCTCTCCTCCTGTGTCACGCTGGCTGGCACCGTCACTTCTCTCTAGCTTGGAACCGTGGCGCCCGGTTTCCACATCTTGTTTATGGTCACTGATTCTGTATTTGTTGAGAATCAGCCTCAGCTTTGCACGTCTTACTGTAGTGAAGTATCTGCTAGTGCGATAGGCCTGAAGCAGTCTAACTCAGGGGTCCCCAATGCGGTGCCCGCGGGCGCCATGGTGCCCGCTGGGGCGTCTAAGTGCGCCCACGTACTGGCCGGCGGACGAGCATCCGCTGAAATGCCACCGAGAAGCAGCGTCATCCAGAGGCTTCGCCGCCGAAATGCCACTGAAAATTGGCAGCATTTCGGCGCCGCCGCCTATTGACGTTGCTGCCTGTCGGCGGCATTTCGGCCGATGCTCATCCGCCGCCATGGTCCTCCGTGGCTCGTCTGGCGCCCACTAGACAAAAAAGGTTGGGGACCACTGGTCTAACTCATTGTTTTGGATGTCTCCAGTGGTGTTTTAAGTTTTGCTCTAGTCTTGTTTTTTTTCTGCTCTGGGTGGGGTAGTTATGCCCCTGGAAGTTGTTAATTAGCACTGGGAGTGATGATGTCTAGGTGTGGATCTTGCTCCCCTTTGGATTTAATTTCCCCGGTGAACTGCAGCCACTTCTGAAGTAGAGCGCAGCAGAGAGGAGTGGGGGGAAAGGACATTTTAGCTGAGGCAAATCCTGACTCTTACAGAAAGCACCCCCCTGGATCATTAATACTCATGCGAAGCAAACAAGACCTTGCCTGGGCTCCGAAATGTGGAGGGAGCAAACAACCTTCCTAGGATTTGAGTCCCTAGAGATTTCAGACCTGATCCGTAGATGATTACAGGGGGGTTTGCTACAGGGACACCTTGTGTGGGGGGTCTCCTAGACGAGACCTTAAATGCTCGAATTTTGGGGTGCTCTGTGCTGGACCTGGGCAAGATAGCTTTCCATCTCTCACTTCCCTGATTCTGTGACTAGGGCACATGCTGTAGAAATGCAGAACCTCGGGTGGGTCTGTTTGAGTGAGCAGATTGCTACATCGCTCTGTCGGATTCTAGCTGTCTGGTTTTTTAGCTGTGAATTCAAATGGAGAGAAATTCCAAAGCAACTTTTAAACATGATCACAAAATGCTAAAGGGTGGGGATCGCTAGCTCATGGCGGGGACGAGATGGAGCGTGGTCTCTTCCACCTCTGGGTCATGGGTGTAGAACTGGCGTGGGTGGAATTCATACCCACCTGATGCCATTCGATTGCCCACTTGTGAAATGAATTCAGGTCAGTTCCACATTAAGATTATCACCACCGTCTGCTCCGGTGCTGGCAGCCCGGCGGAGACGCAAAGGCAAAAGGGCTATAGGCACCGATTTTAAATCAGTGGGAGTTAGGCGCCCAAATACCTTTAAAATCTAGCCCAGGTAGACTAACTCTTGTCTTCCCCTTCAAGGGATTCCCCTGGCTGCGGCACACTGATGTGGACAGTGTACGAACTGGGGGGAGAAATTTACTCTGCTGCTGTACCCGCTTTGGTGATAAATGAAGGACTCCATGTCCGGGGAAGGCCAAGCTGGCACCTTTCACCAACCCATAAATTCGCTTGTTAACAGTTTCATATAAAGGAAAAGTATTCGTGGCCAATCAGAAGGCGACTGTTCTTCATTCCCTCGCTCTGAGCAGAGGGTGCCTCACTCTGGATGCTGGTGTAATTGAAACACAAATGATGGCTCGTTATGGGCAGTGGCGTGTCCCACTGCGTTTGATTTGCGGAGCAGGGGGTGGGGGTGGGGGACAGTTAATTTAAAGAGTTGATATTCGAACGTTTCTGTTTCAGCTTGACGGTTAATTTGTCACGCTTCATGACAACATTGTAAGTGTCCCCGAGGTCCCTCTCTGCTGGGTTTACAGGGTGTCGCATTCGTAGTGCCGACATTCAGGAACAGAAACATTTAGCTGTACGTCACGCTTCCGTACCCTAATGTGTTAGAAAGGCTCAGGAGGCGGCCTTGTCACTCGGCTCGAGGGAGGCTCACGGTGCTTTAGGAACCCTCATCGCAAAGTGCTCCAAAATCCATGAGCCTTCATCTCTTCTTACAGCCCTGTTTCCTTTTCCTCCTCTCTCTTTCCATGTGCCATGACAATGGAATAGTCGGTTACTAATGAAGCTGTTTTGTTGTGCTCAGGGGTTTGGGGAATGGGATAATGGGGACTTTCATATCTAGGGCACCAGTTCCAATTTGGCTTCCGGTTGATGGGGACTGGCTGGCTGGCTCAGGGAATGGGACACTGGGTCTTTCATATCGAGGGCGCTGGTTCCAGTTTGGCCTCAGGTCAGGGCGGATGGGTTGCTTCACAAGATCGGGGAATAGGATACCGAGGCTTTCAGCTTGAAGGCACCACTTCCAAGGTGGCTCAGTGGTGACTGAGTGCTCCCATCTGGCAGCCATTCTGGATCTAGATCTGGATCTGGATCTAGACTGTTCTCAGTGGTACCAGAAGACAGAACAAGGAGTAATGGTCTCAAGTTGCAGTGGGGGAGGTGTAGGTTGGATATTAGGAAAATCTTTTTCACTAGGAGGGTGGTGAAACACTGGAATGGGTTACCTAGGGAGGTGGTGGAATCTCCTTCCTTAGAGGTTTTTAAGGCCTGGCTTGACAAAGCCCTGGCTGGGATGATTTAGTTGGGGATTGGTCCTGCTTTGAGCAGGGGGGTGGACTAGATACCTCCTGAGGTCCCTTCCAACCCTGATAGTCTATGATTCCGGGGCCCCTTTGTGTAATTATGTAGGAGTTTGAGTCCAGTTCCTAGTACCAGCCACACGGGTAAAACCTCATAGCAACTAGTACTAATAGACGTCCTCGTTGGCCCCTTCACAGTAAAGCTCTTTGGAGAGGGGACATAAGCGTCCCTTGCCTCCAGCTCTGGGGATACACAGAGAGATGTGGGAGAGCAGGAGATGCGCTGCAGCTTGGCTTTAGTAAGGATTTTGATTCTCATGACTTTGTCATAAGCAAACTATATAGCCTAGATGAACCTACTGCAAGGTGGGTGCACAACTGGTGGAAAACTGTACTCAGAAAGTAGTTATCAACGGTTCACAGTCAAGCTGGCCGGGGAAATCAAGTGGGGTCCTGCGTGGATCTGTCCTGGGTCTTCTGTTCAATGTCTTTATAAATGATTTGGGAGTGGCACAGAGGACACTTATAAGGTTTGTGGATGATACCCAGCTGGGAGGGGTTGCAAACGCTTTGGAGGACAGAATTAGAATTCAAAATGATCTGGACAAACTGGAGACATGGTCTGAAATAAATAGGATGAAATTCAGTAAGGACAAATGCAAAGTACTCCACTTAGGAAGGCACAATCAATTGCACAAATACAAAAGGGGAAATGACTGCCTAGGAAGGAGTACTGCGGAAAAGGATGTTGGCCAAGGGTGGCCAACCTGTGGCTTCGGAGCCACATGCGGCTCTTCAGAAGTTAATATGCGGCTTCTTGTATAGGCATCGACTCCGGGGCTGGAGCTATAGGCGCCATCTTTCCAATGTGCTCAACCCCTGGCTCTACCACAGGCCCTGCCCCCACTCCACCCCTTCCCGCTCCCTCCCCTCAGCCTGCCGTGCCCTTGCTCCTCCCCCCACCAGAGCCTCCTGCACGCTGCAAAACAGCTGATCGGGAGAGAGGGAGAGGTGCTGATCGCGGGGCTGCCGGTGGGTGGGAGGTGCTGGGAGCAGGGTGGGGGAGCTGATGTGGGGGCTGCTGATGTATTACTGTGGCTCTTTGGCAATGTACATTGGTAAATTCTGGCTCCTTCTCAGGCTCAGGTTGGCTACCCCTGATCTAGGGGCTATAGGTGATCACAAGCTAAATATGAGTCAGCCAGGTAATACTGTTGCAAAAAAAAGCAAACCTCGTTCTGGGGTGTATTAGCAGGAGTATTGTAAGCAAGGGGTGAGAAGTAATTCTTCCACGGTAGTCAGCACTACGGTGACCAGATGTCCCGATTTTATAGGGACAGTCCCGATATTTGGGGCTTTTTTTTATATGGGCTCCTATTACCCCCCCACCCCGTCCTGATTTTTTACACTTGCTATCTGGTCACCCTAGTCAGCACTGATAAGGCCTCAGCTGTAGTACAGTGTCCAAACTTCGGGAAAGATTGGAGAAAGTCCAGAGGAGAGCAACAAAAATGATGAAAGGTCTAGAAAACATGACCTATGAGGAAAGAGTGAAAAAATCAGGTTTGTTTAGTCTGGAGAAGAGAAGACTGAGAGGGATCTTCACCTACGTCAAGGGTGGTTATAAAGACAAGGGTGATAAATTGTTCTCCTTATCCACTGAGGACAGGACAAGAAGTAATGGGTTTAAATTGTAGCAAGGGAGATTACCCTTCCAGTTAGGAAATTTTTCCTAATTAAGCACTGAAACAAATTACCTAGGGAGGTTGTGGAATCTCTGTCTGGAGGTTTTTAAGAACAGGTTAGACAACCACCTGTCAGGGTGGTCTAGAATAATGCAGAGGACTGGACTTAGATGACCTGCTGAGGTCTCTTCCAGTCCTACATTTCTATGATTCATTCTCCAGGGGCTGTCGAGTTGACACCTTCCACCCGTGCTAAACTCACTAGTCATTAAAGGAGGGGGAAAGTGTCAAGGCTCAGAGAAGAGCCCCTTATTTTTTGTGTCTTTACATTTTGTCTTCTCCAAGGAGTCAGTCCTCTCGGACCTTGCAATGGCGGGGAAGAAGGTGAGGCAGACATGGTTGCAGTCACCATCCCAGAGGAAAAAGAGGTGGATCTGGTAGGTCAGAGGGGCCCGATGTGCTTTGTGGGCCATTGTGTCACTCATGCATATGACATTCCCTTTCCGTAATATCACGAAAGGATGATGCAGCCTCCATGATGGGGCTGGGGTGAGAAAGGACGGCCATCAAATACAAGACTTTCCTATACATGGAACGACTAATATGTTATCTTGATGTCCTGGCCAGCTTCCAGCTCAGGTGATCCCATTTTACCGCTCTAAATTCCCCGCTGCCACTGCAGTTGGATGTGGAATCCACCTTCATTTTCTGTCTCAAACTCCCTGTGGAACGGTGAAATGGCTGCCTCGTTCCCCCTTCCGAGTGTTGCATTTCACGCTGCAAAGCTCTTCCAGATTTGATGGCCCCGTAAGTGATTCTGATGATGATTACTGGCAATGAACATTAATCCATCCTCCCCTCTCCAATCAGTCACACGGAGGGATTGGATGCAATGCCGTTTCTGAACTGTGTTCTCACCTGCCATCAGGCGCCTCCCAGCCCCGATGGCTCCTCACTCAGAGCCCCGAACAGAAAGGATAGAAGGAAGGAGGGTGGCACAGAATCGAGTTTTGTCACATTAATGCAGGTAACATCTGGCTCTAAACTTTCATGCCAGATGTTACCTCAATTTGACCCTAATTCCCAGGTTTTCTTTCGACGCTCCTGAGAATGAGAAATGGAGACAAGGCTTAATGTCTGTTCTAAAAAAACCCTTCCAAACCCAAACAGCTGCTCTGCCCAGCTCAGAATTTGCTGCTTTCATTCCTTACATTTCGGCTCTTTATTGTCTCTTACCTTCTCCTCCCCAGCAGGGATCAGGTTGCCTAACAGCCTAGCCCAGAAAGCTATGGAAGCTTTGATTGTCCTTCAACTACTTTGACAAATTAGCCTCTCCTACACATTCCTGCGGGGCCTCAGGGGACAGCGATTGGCTAATGAGGATTTGTAATGAGATCAGGAGGCTTTCACTTTCTGGTATCCAATCCCAATGCAGTGCAGGTTGGTGCGGAGGAGAATCCACTCCCATTTGATGGCCATTGTCAGGCCCGCTCTGTGAAATGGGAAGGCCATGTCTGTATGTTTCAGTCCAGTTCGGAGAGAAGCCGGTGTCCACCTCACAGAAACCACTGCCTCATCTCTCCTTGGCTTTGCTAAGGCTGTCACTGTCCTGTCCTCTTTCCCCAGAAACCCTGCATCCGAAGCCGGGTGGTCCTGAGCGGCCTAAGGGATGACATGTGGACAGAAGAGCATGCTGCGACCCTGGATCTCTTTCTGAAGGATGTCAGTAAGCAATTGCTCGTCGTCTACATAGATGAGTTTGCCGGACTGAAGGTTGAGCAGACCATGCCACATCAGGTTTGTTTGGCACCATGCTGCCTAGATCCTACAAGAGTTCCCGTGGAGGGGCTGCAGTCGTATCAGTTTGTGCTGTCATCCTATTGGCCTCGTGAGCTAACCAGGTTTGGGACTAGTTCTCCCCTATGAGTTACTGCTGATCCTAATGTCCCAGCTCTAGGGGGCGCTGTGCTGCAGGGGATGTTGAGGGGAACCTGGTGGTTCAGCATGGTATCTTCCATGGCATGCTCATCACATTCATAAAATTAAGCACGCGCATAAATGTTTGCAGGCTCCGGGCCTTAGTTTCCTTAAAAGCCTTTTGGGACGGGTTTTGCCTAAAGCTTTTTGAAATGCTAAATACATGATGTCAGCTCGTTCTCCTTTATTCACTCGTTGGCTGAGATGCTCAGGGAATTCTAACAGGTAAGAGAGGTGCAGAAGCCAGGCCAGCTCATCCCTGTCGTATCTTGTTCATGACTATCATTTCCTTGCTCTGATTATGTTTCAAACCTACGGCCCATTGCTTTAACTGTGCGTGTTGGGTGTGGGGACAAGACGCATTCCCCATAGATGCATTCCCCATAGATACATTCCCCATAGATACAGCAAAGCCTGCTGCTAATTAACCTCACCCTGTCATTGGCTGTTCATCACAGGAGCAGAAACAGCTCACCTACTTCATCCGCCATGAGAATGCCGAGATCACCGCCGAGAATTTCCAGAAGACAGTGCAATTTGGCACCGTCCGGAGACCCTACATTGATTCCCTCGTGCGAATTCTCAATAGCGTCTTCCTCCCCCGCCTCTTCCACAACACCAATTGGCCCGAGAGCATCAAGAACGAATTCTTCTCGGAAATATACCACTTCATGACCTCTCTCACAGGTAGAGTGAGCGATGCCCTCTCCCTCTGAGCTGCCTCGCAATGCTGGTTCTCTCCACCAGGATGGCCAGTTTCTTGTTACACACTTGTTGGCTTGCTCTGGGCTCTCCTATTCCGGAGACTCCGATGATGTCCCCAGTAGAAAACGGGGTGCTCGGCAGGATTTTGCACAGTGCCATTAATGATTTAGTTGGGGATTGGTCCTGCTTTGAGCAGGGGGTTGAACTAGATACCTCCTGAGGTCCCTTCCAACCCTGATCTTCTATGATTTCCGGCCTTCAGAGGAGAATGAGTTTGGCACCACTGTTGTTTGCAGTGTGTGTTGGTCCCAGCATATGAGAGACACAAGGTGGGTGAAGTAATATCTTTTGTTGGACCAGTTTCTGAGACAAGCCTTTGAGCTCCACAGAGCCGAAGGTCCTACCTCACCCGCTTCATCTTTGTCACCACGGACCGAGGGCCAGGTTGGAATTGGTCCTTAGTGGTGAAAGGCTTCGTATCCCATTCACTGACCCTCTTTGAGCCAGCCAGCGTTCCCTGATTGGAGCTGGTCCCTAGAGGTGAAAGGCCCCGTGTGCCATTCTCCGATTCCTCTGAGAAAATAAACCCTCTTCTGCCCCCCAGCCCCAAAGCCAATGCAGGAGAGAGGACCCAGAGAGAGGGTTTGATTGTGTCCCAGCACTCCATCTGTCTCTCCCTTCTCCAGATACCCGTTCGAAAATGAAGGGCCGCACGGTGCTCTACATCCCCATTGAAGCCCTGAGCATGAAGCCCGAAGTGGTAGTGAAGGACAAAGCACTGGTTCAGAGACTGGAAAGTGAGTAACTCCCCAGCCTGGCTCTCGGGGGAACGTCGTGCTGCCTGGCCTGGGAGAGGGGAGCAATAACGGGATCGATGTAATGGGAAAGGGGCTGGGTGGCGGGATAAACTCCACAGAGGAGCCGGTGAGAATCGCAGTGCGTGGAGTCTAAGTGAATTAACCTCCAGCAGCATATGAGCTGCATCCATCATTCCCAATTTCTGAGAGGCTCGGTGGAGCACGGAGGATCCTTTGGCAGGGTTATTGCTTTCACTTTAGATAGTCTTCAAGGAGCTGGCGGCCATCAGGCAGTAAAAAGTTTTAGGCAGAGGCGAGACCAGCTGGGGCGGCTCCGTGGCGGGACTCTGCATTCCCCAGAACCTGGGGACAGACTCGCTGCACTGTCCTCAGGTGCCTCTCCCGGGCATCAGGGCATAAAGTGGGCCTTGATTTCATGACCTTGGAGGATGTGAGGCTGGGCAGGGTCAGTCCAGGCCCTGCCATGTGGGTTCTGAGTGGGAGGGGAAAGCGCTCTGTTTATTCATGACTGGTGCGGTTAAAATAACTTTTCTGGTATTGACTTGTGGCAAAGGGATGCCTGACTAGTCCCCAGCCAGAACTTTGTGGGGGGAAGGGTTAGTGACTCTAGAAAAATTGGGGAGCACTCAAAAAAGATCACCCAAAGAGAGCAGGAGACAGACCATCAAATGCCTTTGATCGTTCCACCTTCCAGGCCCCCGCCGGGCTCGCTTTCTCTGCACAGGTTAGCAGTAGGCGCACGCCAACTGAGCATCGCTGTGGAGTGCCCAGCACCCATTCACCGAACGCTCACCCAGCTCTCAGGTGTGCTACTCCTAAAGGACTCGCGCACACCAGTCTGGGAGATTCAACGTCAGATCGCCAAGTTGCTTCACGTACACCACTTGGATATGTTTATAGTGAAAGCAAGAATTAGTTTATGATCAAAGAACAGAGATGCAAATGAGAGAAAGCAAGAATGCTGGAAACAAATGGTTACATATACAACAAAACCACAGCACAGTTTTTAGTGCATACCTTTAACTCCCAAGATATTCCTGTCAAGAAGTGTGGGGGAGACGAGGCCCTGCACCCCTGGCTTCCTGCGATTCAACATGACTCTCAGCCAGCCAGTAAGGCAGAAGGTTTATTAGACGACAGGAACACGGTCCAAAACCGAGCTTGCAGGTACAGACAACAGGACCCCCTCAGTCAGGTCCATATTGGGGGCCAGGGATCCCAGTCTGGGCTTCCCTCCCCTTCCACAGCCAGCTCCAAACTGTAAGGCTCCAGCCCCTCCTCTGCCTTGGTCTCTTTCCCGGGCCAGGAGGTCACCTGAACGCTTTGTTCTCCAACACCTTCAGTTGGCACCTTTGCAGAGGAGGGGCCCAGGCCATCAGTGGCCAGGAGACATTCTCTGTGCAGACACCATCGCACGGGCCCTCTCGGGCTCTGCAACAATCACACCCCCTTATCCCACCACCTAGATACTTAAGAACTGCATAGAGGAAACTGAGGCACCCACACAATATTCAGAGAGAACATTAAGAACAGTCCCACTTCGTCACAATTCCCTGGTTTCCTAGAAAGTAGCTTCCCCAAGCCCTCTTCCTAGAATTTTCAGCCAAGCCTCCTGAAGTAAACCCATGGTTAGTTGACTTCCTCAGTGGGGGTTTATGTGCACCCCTTTTGTACTAAACCAGACCTTTTGATCTTCACTTGAAGAACAGGGTGTCTCCCCCCCCCCCCCCCCCCGCACTGTTTACATCTGCCTCTTACTTTCCTTCTCAAGTCTCCGCTAGCTCTTCATTAGTATTTGACCCAGTATGCAAATCGACTTCTATTGTATGCTACACAATGCCTCCCTGCCCCACTAGGAGATAAGTGTCTCCTGCCTGCTGGGGGAAATGTGTCTCCAGGCAGGGTAACCTGCCTTTAACTCACAAGACCCAGAGAACATCCTTTTCAGCATGTGTACGGAACTCCTCACGGATTTGCCGTGCATACCTCTCCCAATGGTGACGCTAGCCAGGGCAGCACGGAGATTCGTTAGAGATCTTACCTGACATTCTGCTGTGAAGTCAGGGGGGCTCTATACCACTATGGACCCCTATGCCGGTTGGCATCAAGAGCTCCTCGGGGCACAAGCTTTATTAAGCACCAGCGCTGCATTTGCACTCGGATCCGCTTACCATTACGCCCATGTGGAGTCCCATTGAAATGAATGGGGCTCTCCCCCCCCCCCCCCCAGAGGGCTCTCTGCACGGCTCAGATTGCTGGCTCAGGGCCCTAGAGGAAAGCCGGGAAATGACAGTCTAAGCCCCAAGTCCATGGGTGTTCAGTTTGACACGCGTCACTTCATTCACACGAGTGGTCCATTTATATAGTTAGGATATTTACTCCCGTGTGAATATTTGCAGGCTCAAGTGCTGCACCCGACACAGAAAAACACAGCAGCTAGAACAATGGAATCCTGCTACCCGATGGGGGTCTGTAGGCACTACTCTAATTGAAATAATTAATAATAATTAATAACTTCAAGTTAATTATAATGGTGCGGCTGCTATATAAAGCGAGCACGTACACCCTCTATCCCCCACGAAAACCGTTCTCTCTCAGCACTGGCTGCGTATCCCACCAATGCAAACCGGAAAAAGCAGTTAAATGATTCAGCTGCTCATCTGCGTGGCTCTCATCAGCAACCTTCTCGCCCTGATCTCCCTCCCTCCCGCAGCCCGTGTCCCTCCACCCTTATCCCGAGCAACCCGCAGGCAGCTGGAACGCCAGCCAGGCTCATTTGTTATATAGCTACGTGTGTTTTGATGATCAATCTGGTGGTGGTGTAGCTTTCCTCAAGTACATTGTATGTAGTGCTTTACCTGGCCTGTCTAACGTATCTATAGCCTCACGGCACTGTAGTGCTGAGGGAAGAGACATCCAATGAAACTGAGCAGTAACCCATTGGGCACTATATGTCCACAACGTGTAATTCCACTGTGGAACTCACTGGCTCAGTATCTCGTTGAGCCCATTAAGTTCTGCTGAATTTCAAAAGGATTTGACATTTCTATGGCTAACGAGACCCTCTACAGTTACATTAAATAGCATAAAACATGTATAAGAGCTATACAATCTCATGTTTCAGGACACCGAAACGTCCTCTACGGGGAGATTATTCCATAATTGCCTATTTAGAGGGATTTTTGCACCTTCCTTTGTAGCATCTGATCTTGGCCACTGTCAGAGACAGGATACTGGGCTTGAGGGACTTGGTTTGAGTCTTCTGTTACTGTATACGCAAATTCAATTGAATGGATCGCTCAGGACAAGTCAAAAGCTGTAGATTGAATTATTTATGCAATATGTCTTGATTATAAGTAATAAAGCGAAAACTATGCTTGGATTTGGCTCGTCAGTGGCTAAATTCCCCTATTGTTCCTAATGCAAGCGGTGCCAGTGACGTGAACAGGACTTCTTGTCTGGCCAAGGCGGGCCCCATTTGCAGATATGTGCGTCCCGAGATACCCTGCGTCTTTCTTTTAGTCAAAAGAATTGAGTTCGGGTCGAGGGAGCTGATTTCTCATTGATTCCATTGCAATGTTAATGTTATAAAACCCAAGAACACGTTTGATCTGAGATTTGACAAAAGTTAAATACGTCCCTGAAAAGTGTCCCCTGCCCATGTTTCTTTTGAACTATGAACAAACTCCCACTGCTAAGGAGACACGGAGGGTATGCAGTGGACATGAATGGCCCATAATGAGAAGGACTGTGTGTTCCACAAAACCCAGCACTGTCCCCACTAAAATCTTTGCAGGGCCAGCTATTATGCCTGGCAATATGTGTCTGGGTGAAACATCCAATTGGACACCTTGGGGGTAGCTTCCATTATGACTACGTCTTCGCTGTTATCAAGTACTTAGCGATGCCTGGCTATTCTAATGGCCGGGCTGCGTGATTATCTTATCCCTATAATTTGGTGCCGAGATTGCTGCTCTCCTCCTGGGCTCCTAACTCTTCGATTGGCGCACTGTGACTATTAGCAGCTTCCACTCTGTGGAACGGGGGGAAGTCGCAAGTGTAGTTAATTGAGTTCAAATAAACTTTTTCCTTCTGCCGCCATCTGGTCAGTTACTTGGGTTACTTCCTAGTTCGGTGCACTCACGTATCCGGCACCTTTCGGCGCTCTGCCTGGGGTGCAGCGAATCTCCTCTAGGGTTCGCCCACGTAGGTCCCCTCATCTTTGCGATACCGCTCTGCTCAGCTTTCTGCAGCTGCACCTGGGGTGAAGAGGAGCTTGTTACGGCAGTTTCTATCTGTTTTACAGTGTGTTTTGGATCACAACAGTGATACTAGAATAGCACCCCCCCCCCAGCTTTGCTCCCTGGGCATTTATGAATCACATTCTTGACACTAATGAAAAATTTAGCTTCACAACCCGCCTCTGAAGTAGGGAGATATCATCGCCTGCAGTTCGCAGAGAGGGAAACAGGAGGCCAGAGAGCTGACGTGGGTTAGAATGCAGGAGTCCTGAATTTTAGCCCCCGTTTCTAATCACCAGGCCGCGTTCCCCGCCCAGAGCTGCAAACAGAATCCCGGCGTCCAGATGCCCCATTCCTTTGCTCAAACCACGTTCCACTGGGGTCCATTATTCGGCACCACAGTGGAATGTCCCTATCATGCCAGGGCGGAGAAACAGAAAGGAAAATCCTCAACCTTAACCTTAACGCTTCTCACACCCTGTCAGACAGTCCTGGGCGCTAAAGCCCAGAGCTAGAAAGGTATTTGGCGCCCATTAAAATCAGCGATGTCTAAACCCCTAACGCCTTCGGCCTCGTCTGACTCTTTGTTCCAGCTTCCATGATCCACTGGACGCGGCAGATCAAGGAGGTGCTGCGAGCGCAGGAGGCGGTGGAGAGCAGGGAGAGCACGGGGCCGCTGGAGGAGATTGAGTTCTGGACGAACCGCTGCACCGACCTGTCTGAGATCAGCAAACAGCTATGCAGGCAGGGAGTGACGCACATCGAGTCCATCCTGCTGCTCTCCAAGTCCTCCTACGTGGCACCCTTCCAGAGGCTTGCCAGACAGATACAGGTAGGGGTGGAGACAGGGCCCGGCTGAGCGGGGAGGAGTGGACCAGAGCTGGGTCCCACTTTGTAAAAACATGTGCCGAATGTTGGCTCATGAAAGGGAGGGGATCCCTACAGTAACCCCCATCTGTACATGCACTGCTCCTGGTCCAGTCCGGGGCTCTGCGCACACAGCTCGGCCGATGTCCCTCAAGCCCTGGAGAGGGAATGCAGTTTTACTTCGGTGCAGGAACCGAAAAGACCTCGAGAGTCTAACTTGGGCCTTGGAACCCTGCAGGCCGAGTGTCCTGCTTTCACTCGGAGCCCACTAGCCCTGGGTCCTCAGGATTAGCCCGCCTGCTAGAAACCCGGGTGAGATGAGTCCTTTTTCTCTCCCCCTCGGTGATTGCTTTGCAGGACGGGTCTGAGCAAGCGCAGTCGAACCTCCGCTTCCTTTCCATCCTGAAAGAGCCGTTCCAGGAGCTGTCCACGCTGCGGCCCAAAGACATCCCTGACAAGCTGCCCCGCCTCATCAGCCTCGTCCGCATCATATGGGTCAACTCCCCATACTACAATACCAGAGAGAGAATCACAGCCCTCTTCCGAAAGGTGGGGGGCTAGTGGGTTAGAGCAAGGGGGGTGGGCTGGGAGCCAGGACTCCTGGGTTCTCTCCCTGGCTGTGGCAGGGGAGTGGGGTCTAGTGGTTAGAGCAGAGGCTGGGAGCCAGGACTCCTGGGTTTTATC